TCTCTCAAATCCCTATTATTACTTTTCTTATCTCAAAATTCAGAATCTATGGAGAAGAAGATGAAAAGTGGAAATAAGAACAAGAGCCTGAGAGAAATGGGTAAGATTTGTGGCTTATATGGTAGGTTTCCAAAGGGTTTCTAGATCCTTCTGTTGAACAATGATCAATGGATTTTAACCTTTTTATCGCTGAACAATTCGGGTCGGACCAAGTTAAGCAGTCCGGCTTAGTGGGCCCAGTTTTTATCAGTTTTCACTCCTCCTCTCCCGTTATCTGCAACTGTTTCCCTAGAAAATGGAGGCTCCTGCTTTTCGAATCCGTATACAGTTTCCGATCTTTTCGGATTTAGAACTTAAATCCATTCCGCCATTTTTCCAGCAGCTTGAAAACTCGTATTCCTTTTCTTTTCTTTTCATTTTGTTTGTATTTTTGCTTTTATTATCTGGGTTTATCAATAGCTTCAGATAATCAGATTGGCAGATTATTGGTGAATACCTGTCGATTTCATATGGTGGATTTTTATTGATTATTGATTTACGATTTGAACTTTATTCCTTCCGGCAATTGACATGCGCAGCCTGTATGAAACTTAAAAATATGGAATTCACTATCAACTGGCTAATACAAAAGAATAAGCTTTGGAAACCAGTGTTTCGCAAGGAAGAAGCCATAGGTATTCATATAAAGCTTGTCTTCAACACACCGCTTCACTTGTACACTGGATTCATTATTATTAACATTATTTTTTTTTTTCACAAATGATAAACGTATATCAGTTTTATCGGCAACTGCTTGGTGCTACTTCAATACAGGAATTGATCAAAATCATTTTGATCCAGCTAGAAAGATAACACTAGATTCTTTCTAAGAAGGCTTCTTCTCGAATTTTACACGAAGACTGGTAAGATAATGGTTCAGATACTGGAAACTATCAAGGGAGGTGGAGGATCCAATAAAGTTGGAAGCACCGGGACAATCCAGTAATTCTGCTTCTCGGATGCCAGGTACACTTAGAAATGATTCTTCTCCGGCTTCTATCTCTTCCCCTGCTGATGAAACTTTCTTCTAAAAGACTGAAATCTAAAACGCCAGCGAATGAAGCAAGTAGCAGTGGCATCAGCAGTTTTGATCATACAGTCCCTGAAACTATGACGAGGAAAAAGCATTACGTTGGAAAAAACTCATCAAATTCCAATGCTCGAAGCTGATAGTATTTCGATAGACTGAACTCCTATTAGACCAAAACCCGCTAGAAAGGGGGTCTGGCGTTGTAGAAATTTGTGGACATAAAATGTGGAAATCCAGACAGGACATGGGCAAGCCCTATTACAAATCGTCTTAAAAAGCTAGGTTTCTCGATATTGTCAGAGAACACTGCCTAAATTTGCAGCCTCTTTAGATCAGTCTTGAGATTGCATCCGGAAAACGGGGCAGTCTTCTAAATGACTGGATTATTGATCCTATTTTTCACAATGACCTCTTCTATTGAAAATATTATTTTACCGTTACTTTTATTATTTGCAAGATGTATTCTGTATCTTTCGGGACTTATTAATCAGGACCTATATCTATACTTTTCAATCTTTCAAACACCTTTAAATATTCTTTGTATCTTGATAATTTTTCAAAGATTTTAGGTTGATCTTCCTTAGTTACGTATTCTCGAACTAATCCTTCTGAGACTTCTTCTTGTATATCTCTATGTTTAGTTATAATATCTTTTACATTTCTTATTTCTCTGCTAGTTCTTCAAGAATCAAATCTTATATTATGCTTACAAAAATAATCTATATCTTGGTATATTTCTCCAATTTTTTCTTTGCCAACAAAAAATATATCTTCAGACTTTTCAGCTAACTTAAATAAAAACGAAATATCTTTCTCATCTAAGTATAATTTGAGATTATCATTAGAAGTGGATGTGGATGCTTGTAAATTGTTCATCAGAATTTATCAAAACGTAAGTATGTAAAAGCAAGTAAATAACTTACAGTAATCTAATGGAAGTAAACATGCTTTCCCTCCAATATGCTCTTATAGATGCTTTGCATGTACTTAATCAATCTTCTGAATCAAGTAAAGATTTAAAATGTTTTTTAAAATCATTTGGGTCCACAACTGCTTCCACAAAAGGCTTTTCAATTAAGGTTGCATTTCTCATTCTAGAGAACTAGCCGTGTTTCTACAGACACTATCTCACAGTATCCAGAGTCTCTGTTTTTACCTCTATCCAAACTCTTTTCAGAATCAAGTTCTTACTTGAAACGAAATTTTAAAAGATAACTCACACACAAGGTGCTACAATTTTGTTAGAAAACTGCCTTTTTCCCCTAAACCATTCGTCAAAGACGGGTACTTTGGCATGGCTAACGTCCATTCAAAATCAATGTTTTGAAAATCTTTTAAAATCTCTATCCGTACTGTCGAGGAATCATGAGAAATTTAACGAAATCTT